ACCTAACCTAACCTAACCTAACCTAACCTAACCTAACCTAACCTAACCTAACCTAACCTAACCTAACCTAACCTAACCTAACCTAACCTAACCTAACCTAACCTAACCTAACCTAACCTAACCTAACCTAACCTAACCTAACCTAACCTAACCTAACCTAACCTAACCTAACCTAACCTAACCTAACCTAACCTAACCTAACCTAACCTAACCTAACCTAACCTAACCTAACCTAACCTAACCTAACCTAACCTAACCTAACCTAACCTAACCTAACCTAACCTAACCTAACCTAACCTAACCTAACCTAACCTAACCTAACCTAACCTAACCTAACCTAACCTAACCTAACCTAACCTAACCTAACCTAACCTAACCTAACCTAACCTAACCTAACCTAACCTAACCTAACCTAACCTAACCTAACCTAACCTAACCTAACCTAACCTAACCTAACCTAACCTAACCTAACCTAACCTAACCTAACCTAACCTAACCTAACCTAACCTAACCTAACCTAACCTAACCTAACCTAACCTAACCTAACCTAACCTAACCTAACCTAACCTAACCTAACCTAACCTAACCTAACCTAACCTAACCTAACCTAACCTAACCTAACCTAACCTAACCTAACCTAACCTAACCTAACCTAACCTAACCTAACCTAACCTAACCTAACCTAACCTAACCTAACCTAACCTAACCTAACCTAACCTAACCTAACCTAACCTAACCTAACCTAACCTAACCTAACCTAACCTAACCTAACCTAACCTAACCTAACCTAACCTAACCTAACCTAACCTAACCTAACCTAACCTAACCTAACCTAACCTAACCTAACCTAACCTAACCTAACCTAACCTAACCTAACCTAACCTAACCTAACCTAACCTAACCTAACCTAACCTAACCTAACCTAACCTAACCTAACCTAACCTAACCTAACCTAACCTAACCTAACCTAACCTAACCTAACCTAACCTAACCTAACCTAACCTAACCTAACCTAACCTAACCTAACCTAACCTAACCTAACCTAACCTAACCTAACCTAACCTAACCTAACCTAACCTAACCTAACCTAACCTAACCTAACCTAACCTAACCTAACCTAACCTAACCTAACCTAACCTAACCTAACCTAACCTAACCTAACCTAACCTAACCTAACCTAACCTAACCTAACCTAACCTAACCTAACCTAACCTAACCTAACCTAACCTAACCTAACCTAACCTAACCTAACCTAACCTAACCTAACCTAACCTAACCTAACCTAACCTAACCTAACCTAACCTAACCTAACCTAACCTAACCTAACCTAACCTAACCTAACCTAACCTAACCTAACCTAACCTAACCTAACCTAACCTAACCTAACCTAACCTAACCTAACCTAACCTAACCTAACCTAACCTAACCTAACCTAACCTAACCTAACCTAACCTAACCTAACCTAACCTAACCTAACCTAACCTAACCTAACCTAACCTAACCTAACCTAACCTAACCTAACCTAACCTAACCTAACCTAACCTAACCTAACCTAACCTAACCTAACCTAACCTAACCTAACCTAACCTAACCTAACCTAACCTAACCTAACCTAACCTAACCTAACCTAACCTAACCTAACCTAACCTAACCTAACCTAACCTAACCTAACCTAACCTAACCTAACCTAACCTAACCTAACCTAACCTAACCTAACCTAACCTAACCTAACCTAACCTAACCTAACCTAACCTAACCTAACCTAACCTAACCTAACCTAACCTAACCTAACCTAACCTAACCTAACCTAACCTAACCTAACCTAACCTAACCTAACCTAACCTAACCTAACCTAACCTAACCTAACCTAACCTAACCTAACCTAACCTAACCTAACCTAACCTAACCTAACCTAACCTAACCTAACCTAACCTAACCTAACCTAACCTAACCTAACCTAACCTAACCTAACCTAACCTAACCTAACCTAACCTAACCTAACCTAACCTAACCTAACCTAACCTAACCTAACCTAACCTAACCTAACCTAACCTAACCTAACCTAACCTAACCTAACCTAACCTAACCTAACCTAACCTAACCTAACCTAACCTAACCTAACCTAACCTAACCTAACCTAACCTAACCTAACCTAACCTAACCTAACCTAACCTAACCTAACCTAACCTAACCTAACCTAACCTAACCTAACCTAACCTAACCTAACCTAACCTAACCTAACCTAACCTAACCTAACCTAACCTAACCTAACCTAACCTAACCTAACCTAACCTAACCTAACCTAACCTAACCTAACCTAACCTAACCTAACCTAACCTAACCTAACCTAACCTAACCTAACCTAACCTAACCTAACCTAACCTAACCTAACCTAACCTAACCTAACCTAACCTAACCTAACCTAACCTAACCTAACCTAACCTAACCTAACCTAACCTAACCTAACCTAACCTAACCTAACCTAACCTAACCTAACCTAACCTAACCTAACCTAACCTAACCTAACCTAACCTAACCTAACCTAACCTAACCTAACCTAACCTAACCTAACCTAACCTAACCTAACCTAACCTAACCTAACCTAACCTAACCTAACCTAACCTAACCTAACCTAACCTAACCTAACCTAACCTAACCTAACCTAACCTAACCTAACCTAACCTAACCTAACCTAACCTAACCTAACCTAACCTAACCTAACCTAACCTAACCTAACCTAACCTAACCTAACCTAACCTAACCTAACCTAACCTAACCTAACCTAACCTAACCTAACCTAACCTAACCTAACCTAACCTAACCTAACCTAACCTAACCTAACCTAACCTAACCTAACCTAACCTAACCTAACCTAACCTAACCTAACCTAACCTAACCTAACCTAACCTAACCTAACCTAACCTAACCTAACCTAACCTAACCTAACCTAACCTAACCTAACCTAACCTAACCTAACCTAACCTAACCTAACCTAACCTAACCTAACCTAACCTAACCTAACCTAACCTAACCTAACCTAACCTAACCTAACCTAACCTAACCTAACCTAACCTAACCTAACCTAACCTAACCTAACCTAACCTAACCTAACCTAACCTAACCTAACCTAACCTAACCTAACCTAACCTAACCTAACCTAACCTAACCTAACCTAACCTAACCTAACCTAACCTAACCTAACCTAACCTAACCTAACCTAACCTAACCTAACCTAACCTAACCTAACCTAACCTAACCTAACCTAACCTAACCTAACCTAACCTAACCTAACCTAACCTAACCTAACCTAACCTAACCTAACCTAACCTAACCTAACCTAACCTAACCTAACCTAACCTAACCTAACCTAACCTAACCTAACCTAACCTAACCTAACCTAACCTAACCTAACCTAACCTAACCTAACCTAACCTAACCTAACCTAACCTAACCTAACCTAACCTAACCTAACCTAACCTAACCTAACCTAACCTAACCTAACCTAACCTAACCTAACCTAACCTAACCTAACCTAACCTAACCTAACCTAACCTAACCTAACCTAACCTAACCTAACCTAACCTAACCTAACCTAACCTAACCTAACCGAGTCTCGCGCCATCCGCGGTCCCGAACGTCACGAAACTGCGACGCTCCGCGATTAAAATTCGGGAAAGTGGGAAAAAGTTGTGCTATAGTGACTTATTATACATCAAAAGACGCGGAATTTTGCGCTCTACACGGTGGTGAAAACCGCTTGAAGCTCAGATTCCTGTGAAAAAAGTTATTTGTGAAAAAGTGTCTAAAAATTAACATTTTAGCGCCCGCGCCCGATTTTCGATCGAGAACATATAGTTTTTTATATCAAAATAGATGCATATTCGTGGGTTCTAAGTGTGTACCAAATTTCAAAATTTTTGGATTAGTAAAAACAGACTTATTAACATTTTTCTAAAATACACGTGGTCCGTCATCTAACGTTAGGGTGACGTGTTACATATCAAAAGATGCGGAATAAAACCTTTTATTAAGTGGTGAAAACCGCATGAAGCAGTGAAGTCGGGAAAAAAAGTTATGTGGAAAAAAGTGAACCAAAATTAATATTTTCCGGCATATGTCCGATTTTTTTCATGTGAAAATATAAGTTTTATTAGTGAAACAGGTGGGTTTTTATGAGACCCAAGTGCACACCAAATTTCAGAATTTTCCAAGCAGGATAAAGTGTTTTTCCAAGGATTTTCCTGAAACCACGTGGTCAGCCATCTTGGAAACCAGAAGCGTGCGGCTGGATCTGAAATTGGATTTTAAAGGACAATTATTAGCTGAACTCGTCTATATAAATTAATTTTCCCCAACTTGCACCGTTGAGACAGAAATGGACTTTTCCTCATATTTCATCAAGGTACTTGAATACTTTAAATTTAATATCTCCTGAAGGAATACTCCTTAAAAACTACAATTAGTTTCAAAAGATAGTGCATATTATATACTATATACTCTAAAAATTTCATAATTTTCTGCCTATTAGTTTAAAAGTTGCAAAACTTTTTCCGTAATTTAAAATTGTTTTCCGACAAAAAGTGCAATTTTTCTATTTTTAAATCAAAATATCTCGTAAACGGTGCAAGATAGGTCAATTTTGACAGCATTTTTGGCGGGTATATATAATATATATTATATATAATATATATTATATATTACATTTTGGACCTTCGGAATCCCCCCACCCCCCACCCCCTAGGACTAAATTTACGATTCCATATAACTAAAAACTGACTTTTAATTTCTGTGTGAACTTTGGGACTATAAAATGGTACCACCTTACAGTGCCAATAGTGTAATTAATTCTGCACATTGAAAAAATAATTTTAAACGAATAATAGACCTCTTATAGACATTTAAAAAAAAATTTTTTTTTTTTTTTTTCTTTTTTAAAAATAAACTATTTATAAATTTTGTATTACAAACTGTGTATATAATCATATGTGGGTAATGTGAATATGGCACCGTCGCAGGGCGAAGTCCCTCCCCTCCCGGCCTCGGCCGAGGAGGTAAAGGACTCAGACACTCTTGTTCAAGTGTTGAATAAACTAACCAGCTGCATTACCACCGCGGTCAATGAGGGCAAGAGCGTGACCGCGGCGAATAAGAGGTTAATTAGTCTTGCTGCAGAGGAAATTCGCAGAGCTGGACGTGTTTTTACTCACCTTGTTCCTGCGTCCAGCACTAGCTCATCAGCCTCTAATAGCGAGCTGAAAGAGGAAATTTTAGCATGCGTGAGAGAGGAGATCGCAGGCGTGAAAAAATTGGTCACGGCAAATAGACCTACGTATGCGCAGGCAGCGGCGGTGGCTCGAGGAGCCTCAATGTCAACATCTTCAGCGGGAGGGCTCGCCCCCCGCACCGCAACACCACCCACTTCAAAGCCCGCTATTATTGTCACCGCGGCCAAGGAAATAAAAACGCGTCAGGAGGCAGTTGAGTTATTTAGAAAGAGCATATCATACAGAAACTCCACTTATGCTCCGGTCAGGGTACAACCGGTATCAAACAATAAACTGCGCGTAGAGTTTGATAACATTTCACAAAGGGACGACACACTCACCAGGCTTGAAAAAAGTAAAGACGTGAAAGCAGAACCTGTGCGCATGCTTAAGCCCATGGTCATCTTGAAGGGCATCTCCAAGGATGTTCCTTCGGAGGACTTAGTTAAATTAATTAGCACACAAAATCCAGAGCTATCCCATCTGATTGACGGCGAGGGCTGTGACGATGAGAGCTTCCGACTCCGCTTCAAACGAGGTAATCGCAATAGTAATCTATATAACGCGGTGTTCCTGGCTGAGGCCAAGGTCTATCGTAAGATCCTTGACTTGGGGAGGGTTTGTGTGGATCATCAGAGAATAACTGTGGACAGCTTCTCTCCTTTCTTGCAGTGCCACAAGTGCCTGCAGTTCGGGCACATGAAGTCCAAATGCACTGCCACTGAAAGTCCTTGCTCGCACTGTGCCAGCACCGACCATCAGGTGGACAATTGCCCCGTAAAAAATAATCCCAACAGCGTCAAGTGTTATAACTGCTTATCTCACAATGCCAGATTTAAATCCAACCAAGACTGCAAACATACAGCCAACTCCGATAAATGCCCCAGACTGCGAGCCATGAAGGATAAAATAATTCAACGAGTCGACTATGGATTTACGCCATAAAAACATTAAAATATTACAGTGCAACATAGATCGTTCGAAAAGCAGTCTTCACGAACTACTTGTATCCTTCATGGCGGGCAGCCATGACATTGCATTGATTTCAGAACCATATGTTGGGTCGGGTCTGGAACTTAAAGCTGTTCACGGCGTTCAAATCATACAGTTTCCATCGGATACAAGGGTTAAAGCCTGCATTCTTGTCCGGCCTGGATGTGGATCAATAATGGGGCTCACACAGTATTCCACACCTAATCTCTGTGTAGCACGCCTCTCAGCCGGGAACCGCGTTATTTACATAGTATCAGTGTACATCGAACCGGATAGAGATGAGTCAGCCACACTGGACAAACTGGATGCCTTTCTTAAGGCAACTGGCGACTCACCTAAAATAATTGGGGGCGACTTTAATGGATGGCATCCCATTTGGGGCAGCCCAGTTGCCAATGCTAGGGGTGGGGACGTAATTGACCTGGTCTATGGCAACGAGTTGGTCGTCTGTAACGTTGGCGAGTCGCCTACGTTTGAGACGATCACTCATGGCCGACACCGCGACTCGATCATTGACATCACACTAGCATCTGAATCGATATACCATCTCGTATCGGACTGGCAGGTTAACCCTAAGATATGTACCTCATCCCAACACCATGCGATAGAATTCTGTGTAAATAGTCCCAATTCCGATATATATACCAGTAATAACACATCCACCTTCATTTACAAATCTAAAAAGGCCTGCTGGCCCCTGTTTAATGAAACCCTACATTTATACATGACACAATCAGACATTTTAGACACCGACATATCTGCCCTGCAACCCTCTGAGTTGGATGACCTCATAACCAAAGTGGTGGAGATTATCCACATTGCTTGCCGAAAAAGCATGCGGATGGGGGGGAAGGGAGGGAAATACAAGCCTCCTTGGTGGTCGGAAGAGCTAGAAGCTCAAAAATGTGAGATCATTAAAATGCATCATCGTATACAGGAGACTAAGAAACGTGGTCTAGCCATAGATGATCTTGTTGAACAATACACCACACTCAAAACAGTATATGCGCAAAATTTAAGAACCCAATCCACAAGAAACTTTAGGGATTTTTGCAACCTCCAAACCAAGGAGAATGTCTGGTCCCTTACCAATAGATTACTCAAAGAATCCACTGCTAGACGCCCACCCACTACCTTAAAAATAAACAATAAATTCACTGCTGATAACTATGAAACAGCTACTGCGTTGCTTAATCACTTCTATCCCCCTGATCTGCCCGACACTGATCCCCGTCACCAAGAGCTACTGGCCCACCTTGATGATGCATTAGACACGAAGAACGAGCCACCATTCACTTCAGAAGAGGTGCTGGAGCACTTAAGCCTTATGAACCCCAATAAAGCACCCGGGCTAGATAACTTAACCTCGGACATCTGTTTACAATTTGCTAAAAACTACCCGCGTTTAATAACTGACATAATGAACAGGTGCCTCACACTCCAGCACTTCCCTGATAGTTGGAAGGTGGCCTATGTTAAAATCATCCCGAAGCCGAGTAAGAACGACTACGGTGAATTGAACTCCTTTCGCCCCATTGGGCTGCTGCCTGTGTTTGGCAAATTGCTGGAAAGGTTGTTTATCAAGCGTGTCACTTACTGGGCTGCAGTCAATAATCACAGCTGTCCGCGGCAGTTTGGTTTCCGCGAACAAACGAACTCAACCGCGGCTATTGACTCTGCGCTCAATGTTATTCGTCGGGCTAAAGATAGTGGTGAGCTGGTGATCGCGCTCTCACTGGACATCAAGGCGGCTTTCGACAACGCCTGGTGGCCGGCACTGTTCCACAGGCTGAGACTGATGAATTGTCCTCATAACATCTATGGACTCATTCGCAGCTATGTTCGAAACCGCATGGTGACTCTTGATCATGCCGGGGTCAGAGTTACCAAAATGATGACCAAGGGGTGCATCCAGGGTTCTGCCTGCGGCCCGGTGTTGTGGAACATCATTCTTGATGAGCTCCTCGAGACGGAACTTCCGGCGGGTTGTCATATTCAGGCGTTTGCTGATGACGTGTTTCTTATTGTGTCGGCCAAAGACATCCACAGGCTCGAAAGCGCGGCTAACGTCGCACTCTCTCGCATCACGTCATGGGGATCAAGTGTCAAACTGGTGTTTGGCCCCTCCAAAACTCAAATGATCGCGTTCACACCTGGTGCTAAGGTTGCAAGAATCACTATGAACGGACACACGCTGAAATTTACACCTGAAATCAAATTGTTAGGTGTCATGTTGGATGAAAAACTGCTATTCAACAAGCACATTCAATATGTCACCAACAAGGCGACAAAAATATTTGGCAAACTTTGTTTATTCACCAGACCTACCTGGGGTGCACATCCTGAAAATATACGGGCCATATACCAGCAGGTAATAGTACCTATTGTTACATATGCTGCTGGTATATGGGGACACGTTGTATCCAAGAAAGGGGTCAGAAAACGGCTGGAGAAAATGCAGCGAGTATTTGCCATCAAGGCGATTAAGGCATTCCGTACGGTCTCCACGCCGGCTGCTCTGGCCCTTGCACAATTCACACCAATCGACTTGAAAATCAAGGAGGTTCATGCGGTGGAAAGGACTAGATTGTATTGCACATCTGACTTTCTACCGCATGACATCACTTACGAGAAACCTGCTACACCACACCAACTCTTGCACCCCAGTGAGAGGGTCACTTTAAACTTTGACACCATACACAGCCAGCAAGAGGTGGATGCCATCATCGGTCCTGAAGTTTGTATATACACAGATGGCAGTAAGCAGGAGGATGGGGCTGTTGGAGCTGCCTTTGTTTCCTATGTGCCCGCAGGTGATTCGCCTATCACAATTGTTAAAAAATACAAACTGCACGACTCGTGCTCTGTATTTCAGGCTGAGCTGCTTGCCATACATCAGGCTTGCAGCTGGGTGCTTAACAATAACTATAAGGAAACCACTATATTATCAGACTCGCTTTCTTCCATCAAAGCGTTGCAAAATAGAAGCAACACACACCCAATAGTCGTACAAATACATAAAAAAATTTGTCAAATAAAGAAGTTCGGCATAATTAAGTTTGTGTGGGTGAAAAGCCATGTGGGCATTGTGGGGAACGAGGCGGCTGATAGCGCTGCTAATGCTGGCTGTAAGCTTCATAAATCACCGGACTATACACACTTTGCCATCACACATATAAAACACTTAATACGCCAAAAACACCGAGCTCTATGGCAGACCCGTTATGAAAGCGCGGAACAGGGTAGACACACCAAAACACACCTTCCCACACTAGATGACATTACTGCACTCTGCAAAATCACATGTCCTGAATTTTACCTAACCCAAGTTCTCACTGGTCACGGCTTTCATAAGTCCTACCTGTATCGATTTAAAATAATTCCAAACGACAATTGTCCATGCGATGACAATACGCCTCAAACGATAGAACATCTCTTGGAGAAATGCCCCGCGTTCGGAGCTCAAAGATCTACTCATGAAACTATATGTGCCAGTGTGAGAGTGTCGCCCTATAAAATCATTGAACTTATGAAAAAAGAGTCTAGTTGGAACTCATTTATTATTTATATTAAATATATATTTACAAGGCTTAAACGATTTAATAATGATAATTAGGAATAGACTGATTTGTACATTTTACATTTTTATTTGTTAATCGTTATTTTATATCCATTGTTTCAATTATCTTTTTGTCATAATATCTCTGCAAGTTTTTAATTTTAATTATTAGATTTAGTATAGC